CAGTTGAAGTATCTTGGCGTTATGCTGGATCCATACCTCTCGTGGAATGACCACATAGACCACTTCGGGCGCAAAATATCGATAAAGCTCGGAATTCTTCGTAAAGCGCGCAAGGTCATTCCGCGTGAGTCGTGTTTAACACTTTTTATTATATAGACACGAGTGTTTTACTGGAAAATATACCACTCGTAACATTCATAAAAACTACATCCGGGACCCGAGTGGTTTTAATTATTTTCCATAATCTCACAAGTGAGTTTATCGATGACGTAATTTCCGTAACATCCCTTCGAAATTTGTACTAAGCGTCTTGCGTCTTTTGAATTTTATTTACACATTTTTCATGGCTTTGCTTATATTTTGTCATTGTAAAGCCCTATTCAGCTCAGTGTTAGATTATTGTAAACAATGTCTTATATTGCTGTACTGTAAATTTGAGCCGTCACAATTACTTTTTGGCGAATAAAAGTCTATTATTTTATCGATGTCTTTTGTCTATATAATAAAAAGAACATTACACGGCGGCTTGAAGATATGAATTATATTTTCGAGTGGCAAAAACAATACTCTACTCACTCGCTGCGCTCGTTCGTAAAATATTGTTTTGCCACTCGAAAATAAAATTCATATCTTCGCGCCAACGTGTAGTATCCTCTATATAACGCCATGATACTTCCAGTATTCGACTGTTGCGCTGTTGTATGGGACTCCTGCAGTAAGGATGACCGAGAGTTCTTGGATAAGCTGCATAGGCGTGCCACCAGTATTATTGAAGGCTACGCAGTCTCACAATCACTGATATCTTACACTTTCGGTTGGCCTACCCTCCAGTCCCGCCGGGACTATCTAAAGTGCATGCTTCATGGTCTGACTCCAGCATATCTACTTAATGATATTAGCCAGGCGCACGATTTCCCTTCATATAACACGCGCCATAGAGATTTGCTCCGTCTGCCGCTTGCTCGGACAACTAAGTACCAGGGCTCCTTCAGTTTCAGCGGAGCCAAGATCTGGAACACGCTTCCTCTGGCCCTGATCATGATTTAAATAAGTCTGGGTTTGGCCTAGAAAGGCACTTTAGATCCAAGCCAAATTGAGCATCCAATACTTTCGTTATACTTAGTTGTTCCAATTTTTTTATCTGTTATTGTTTTTTGNGATTATTGTAAACAATGTCTTATATTGCTGTACTGTAAATTTGAGCCGTCACAATTACTTTTTGGCGAATAAAAGTCTATTATTTTATCGATGTCTTTTGTCTATATAATAAAAAGAACATTACACGGCGGCTTGAAGATATGAATTATATTTTCGAGTGGCAAAAACAATACTCTACTCACTCGCTGCGCTCGTTCGTAAAATATTGTTTTGCCACTCGAAAATAAAATTCATATCTTCGCGCCAACGTGTAGTATCCTCTATATAACGCCATGATACTTCCAGTATTCGACTGTTGCGCTGTTGTATGGGACTCCTGCAGTAAGGATGACCGAGAGTTCTTGGATAAGCTGCATAGGCGTGCCACCAGTATTATTGAAGGCTACGCAGTCTCACAATCACTGATATCTTACACTTTCGGTTGGCCTACCCTCCAGTCCCGCCGGGACTATCTAAAGTGCATGCTTCATGGTCTGACTCCAGCATATCTACTTAATGATATTAGCCAGGCGCACGATTTCCCTTCATATAACACGCGCCATAGAGATTTGCTCCGTCTGCCGCTTGCTCGGACAACTAAGTACCAGGGCTCCTTCAGTTTCAGCGGAGCCAAGATCTGGAACACGCTTCCTCTGGCCCTGATCATGATTTAAATAAGTCTGGGTTTGGCCTAGAAAGGCACTTTAGATCCAAGCCAAATTGAGCATCCAATACTTTCGTTATACTTAGTTGTTCCAATTTTTTTATCTGTTATTGTTTTTTGTGTTGTGTTTTCTTTTCATCAGGGCCCCATTTAAACCAGCCTCGCTGAACTAGCTCCCCTGAATAAATATTGTTCAAAATGAATAAATAAAATAAACAAAACTGTTGTGGCTGTGAGTTACAACTGGACAGCGGATGTTGCCGAGGTAGGATTATCACATTACAAAACTGTTATATTCCTCGACTTTCACTCAAATAAACAGGGACTGCCATTGGCTGAGTTTTGGTCACATGGCCTTGACTAAATTTAAACGTTGCTGGTTTCACATGACGTCATCAAACATTCAAACTAAAGAATTGCGATACTCCTGAGTTGAAGAATTAGAGCAACTAAACAGCTGACTAAAAACAAACAAACAACCAACAAAAAAATATTCAGAGAAATTTTCTATTCGAAAGGGTTCGTTTTGTGATACGCTTGAATTTACTTATTTATTTCCCTCGGGAACTGACATCCACTCTAGAAGACTATGACGTCGCGAGTTCTTCCTTTATTGGCCAAGTTTATTTTCATGTTCGGTATCGAAGGGCAAAATCGCTTATTCCAGTGCGTACAATAACTATGTCGCCTATAACTAGCAACAGCCATGAATGTACTGATGGTGGTAATGATGATGACGATGACGACGACGATGATGATGATGATCATAATCATCACCACCATCATCATCATCGCCGCCACCACCACCACCACCACCACCACCACCA